AACCCTCACAACCATGATCATCAATACCAAGATAAATAACAGAGATGAAAAAGCTTAAAAACAGAATGAAATCAGTAGCTAACGATTCAGAATGGTTGCCTGGCCTCAAATAGGTTTTAACTGATCTACCTCAACAGATCACTAAAGAACAGTCATTGGCTTTATTAAGGTAAAAGAATATGAGAAGCAAGTCTTTGTGAACCCCCCAACTACAAGCGATAGTACACAAAGTCAAAATTTGTAAGATTTCGGAAATTTAGCTTTAAGAATTTCTCAGTCAAAAACTCTTCGAAGAGTCCATTTGGGTATTACTACTTTATTAGACAGCTTGCAGTTAATTCTGAGTTGAAATCTGGTTAAGCAATCTCAGTTACAACATATAGATTAGACAGCACTCTTGTGTCAATAAGTGGCTATGCTTGTGCTGTGTATTAGTGTGGGATGCTCTAACTGGTGTCTTTCTGCCTTCTCAGAATGGCTGCCTCTCATCTGAGCTTTATGTTCCTTTTGGAAAAGTACATATCCTAATTATTTTCTTTATGGCAATGCCCAGTTTACCACCATTAACACCCCCCTCAAGTATTATAATATGATACCTTGTTTCTGTACTATTGTATTTATTTATTAAAAATTAGACTTAATTTTCTGCATTTTACCTGAGACTTAAGAACAGAGCCCTCTTATTCCTGCAAAAGCTATAAAACTGTTCTCCTTGTGCAGACACACTCCCTGAACCTTGCATTTTCATCAAGTCAGCAAAGTGATGGCGATCTACTCTGAGATCTGAGCCTTCCAAACTGATGTTGTGGACCTCTGAAACACATTTAGGCAACTGTGGAAGGCTGGCCCAATGTAGATCGTTCTTTTCAAACTTCGTATCTATACAGAATTCACGTCTAATCCCATAAGCTACTACTGACACACAGAGAAAATTATAAATCCATTGGAATCAAACCTTAAGAAGCTAAAACAAGCTGAATGATTCTCTACACTTATTCTCCACTCCCTCTTATTTCTCTTTTATCTTTTAAATTTCAACTAGTAGAACAGACATAGTCATGTATGATTTCTACTGCTACTGGCTTGAAACAAGCCAATTATAAAGAGGGCTTTTGCAATCAGCTGTTGTTCAATAGATTTAATAGATACAATATGATATATTAAAAGTGAAATTTCCCTTTTACATTTGAATAACTAAACTCAGCTAACATTCTTCTCTTCTTATAAGTACAAAACTGTTGTCCTCTGAATACATAAAATATTCTGTTTTCAAAATCTGGTGGATCAAGCTGTCCAGACATGCAACCCGGATCAGCACTCCTGGGACTTTTTCTTGAGCTCATCTGAGTCACTGATGGAGTCCTGCTGATTCACATGGAATCTCTGAGGAATCATGCTGATGTGAGGTGGATTGGATGACATCCTCAACTCCAAGCTTTGAGATGACATCCAGCTCCTCTGTTTGCAAATGGCAATGACCTCTTTTTTTCTCAGAGGTCAACACAGCTGCAACTAAATGGGCGCAGGTGAGGGAAGGGAGCTGCACAATCATTATCCTACCAGACAACCCAGATGAAGAACAAGATGAAAAGACAAGATGGGGGAATGTTTTGCAGCCTCTTTGAATCTTTTCCTTTCCCATCATTCCCAAATCCTTGTCTGCTGCACTCACAACACCATGTCTGGGTGAAAGAAGATGCACCTTGTCCTCAGCACACTCACAATGCTCTAAAGCTCTGCGACTGTTTACTTAGCACTCATGTGAAACAGTCACTTCTATGGTTTGTAGAGCTTTAGGAATGCACTGTCGTCTTTCAGATGTTCAGAGGAGGAAAAGCAGTGTAACGCAATGAATGTCTTGCAGCAGTCTCCAAAAAGAGACCAGATTCCCTCTCAAAATTGCAATGTTTTTATTCTCATTCATATTTATTTTTATTTTCAGATCCTTAGAAAGCAGGTTGCTGCCACAGCAGGTGGAGAAGAAGCAATCTCTGTTTTCACCAGAAAAGGCAAAGACCAAATTTAGTAAAATCATGTTGGTATTCTACCCAAAATTAAGTTTAGCCCTGAAGAGTAGAGGCAAACCTTTCCCTTGCAAAACCCATCAATCCAGTGTGTTTGGCTGGTACCTTGGCTGACATGGCTAATCAAGCTCACTGATGCAGTGCACTTCCTCCACACCCCCATCCCCTGTGCTGCAGACAGAGGCACAGCTTCTAGCTTTGCGAGTGCTGGAACTAATGCCTGGTTCCCTGTGAATTGCATTTTGGGGTAAAGTGCAATATCCAGAGAAGCTTTCCTGTGGCTGGGTCTTTTGGGGCTTCTCTTGTGCCCTACCCATCTTTCTCCTGGTTCTTTGTTGCTTCTGTGTGTAAGGACTCATGTTGCAATGCTGCCTTCAGCTGGGAGTCTTTCTGGTAGTAATTTCTGGTTCTCTTTTTCTGCACGAGAACATATAATTGTCATGAAACTTGGTGGAATTTCATTGTCTGTGAGACCCCTTCCTTTGTGCCAGATTTCCTTGGCACTGAATAAAAAATGAAGAAGTTATAAGGGAAAAGACAGAACAGACTGAGAGACTGCACAGGCACATGAACACACACACTCACGTACACAGTCCTGCTCTGGAGAGGCAAGCAGGCTGAAAGTGATATACTTATCCTCTGCACTAAGGCACTGAGTGGTATTCAGTACAAACACAATGATCCTGAACATCTTAGCATTATCTCTGGCTTCTGAACATGCAGGCTACAGTTTTGCCTGTTCTATTGCCTTGTTTGTTACTGTACTCTCCTCCATATCATTACCTACCACATTGCACCTCTCATAAAGGTCCTTTATTGTTGTGCTTCAACACAACACAACACAACACAACACAACACAAATTGGTACAGCACAACTAAAAGTGGCACTGACTAATATCTAACTGATCCATTCTTATTCACAAGCTCTCTGGACTCTGTGTCAATTTTTCCTTTTCTCCTCTGCTCTGTGTCACCTTTTGAAAGCAGACACTTCAGAGAAGTGTGGAGAAGGCTGGAGTCATTAAGCAGACCTACTGGGTTTCAGCAGGCTAGAATCTTTGACCCAGTCTTGGAGTGATTTAGAAACCATTTTTCTTACCATGTTAAGCTGTCACAGCCTCTTGCAAAGCCTGGAAAATAGCCAGACCTATCACATCCTCCTGGAGATTAGCTAGTTTCCAAAGATTTAATGACTATTCAGGGAATTTTTAAGAGGATAAAATTACACAATTGTATAGTGCATTGCATTCTAGAGAACCCCAAGCCAGATTTCAGTTATTTTTAAAGAAAATAAGCCATTTTTGAACTACGGAAGCTCTACTTCTTCCAAGCAATTAAGCAAGTAATTATATTGGACTCCAATAACCTAAAATCATCCAAGGCATTTGAAAAACAAAATGGTTGAAGGAAAACAACCTTTGGCTGAAATCTCATATGCCAGCAATTTAGCCTAAATCCTGCTCTATAAATCTTGGAGGAGAAGTGCTGACTTAGTGACATACTGGCTGCTGTAAAATGAAGTATAAACAACTATTTACTTTCATTTCATGCAAAATTTATCATCACTACAAAAGCACAAAAGAAAATATGGCACTACCAGCCAGGTCTGATTTTATCAAGGCAATGGAAATCATCGCAATTTGAAGGCTTTTGAGGAAGAAAAGCCTTTCATTTTCCTAATCCAGTCTCTGTTTCTGCAGTATTATCTTCTTGTTTTAGCACTTCTTTAACAGGAAGAATGTAGAAGGTTAGAATTTCAATTTTTTTTCATCCTATCCTTTAGTTTGCTCATCTTTGTAGAGGGGTATCTCCTTTCTTCTTGGTAGGTTCATCTGCTGTGGAACTGCTCCCCGCAGCACTCCAGGGCATGAGAAACCAGAGATATTTAGGCTTGGAAATACTCACAGTAGGGCTTCTAAATTAAAAAGACCAGGTTGGTTGATAAGGTCCCCAGAAGGTTCAGACCAGCTCACTCTGTCTGTTCCATTTTGATATCTTCTGCAACACAGACCTGACTATTGCAAGGTTAATCACTATCTTCATTCATGTAATGAAAAGTGAGATCTCACTGGCTCTTCATCTGTAATCGAAATTTACAGTATGGAAAAATTCAGAATTACAGGTCTACTACAAATTTCCATATCTGTTATGTTGTCTAGAAGCCACCACAAT